AAAGGAAAAAAAAAAAAGCCGAAAAAAAAAAAAAAAAAAAAAACAAGATGCGTTAAAGACTCACTGTTAAAGACGAGCAGCTTCCGCGTGGAGCCCAGCCGCTTGATGGGTGACTTGACGCCGTCGATCTCGTCCTCGTCCATGATCCCGCGCCGGCGACGACGGTGTGCGGACCTTGATTCCCTGCTCTTCCTTCAAGCGCGAGGGGAAGGGAGGACGGATGCGCCTCGTCGCACGCACTCACACGCACTTGCAGAAAACGTGCAAATGTACGTATATATCACGGAACGCGCGCCGGTTGCGCGTTCTATCGCGGCGCGCGAACGACAAAACGGCAGTGACGCGAAGGTGGACGCGGGGACGGGTGCGCGCGCGCGCGCGCAAGACACTCGCCGCACTTTAGAGCATTCTCTCTCTCGAGAGAGCACAAGGTGTCCCAGACTCCTGCCTGTCCTGTTGGAACCGGTTTAACGACGGGCAAGCCGTTCGGTCGTTAGACAAGGAACGAGGAGATGTAGATTATTGTAGACACTCCACCGATACGCGCGTCTTTTCACGCACACACGCAGCCGTTCCGAACGTGCGTGCACTCGCGTTTACTTGTCGCGGCTAACTCGCGTGCGTGCGCGCGTCGATGCGCGAACGATCGGCGGCGGAGCGGGCCGAGGGGAGCCGACGATCGGTGGGCCGAGTCCCCCGATCCTGTTCGTAGATTCCTGAGCGTGGCTAAGCGGACGGCCCGATCTGGCCGTTACGCTCGATTCGACTGATTGAAGTTAGCAGCTCGTACCGGGTGAGCGCGAGCACGCTACTTAGACGGCCACTCGCCGCGAAGTGCCTGCCGGCTGACTGGCTGGTCGGCCCCGAAGCCGTCCCGCGCGGCGCGGATATTCTTGGACGAGGAACGTATATTAAATTCAACTGCGAGGGTCCTCCGCCACCGTACTCCTCCTCCGAAGCCTGAACACATCGTCACGTTTTGCCCGCGACGTGAGTCGCGTCTCGCACGTCTCAACGGTTGCCGTTGCCTGGCAACCGTTAAATAATTGCCGCGCTCGAGAGGCGATGACACTGTTAGCGCCATCCATCGGAAAAGATTGTGATCTATGAGCAAAGTAAAGGGAATTGAATGATAAAGAAAACACTTGAAATTATAATATATAAATAACAAATGAAATTGATTTAAATTTTTAAAAGCAAAGATTCAATAAATTCTTCGAAAAAGTAGAAGAAATAAATTAAGTTAAATAATAAAAATACTCACACATGAGCATACTATATCGTTATTCATTTAATAATCTTGATGATAATGGGAGAGGGTTATGGTAAAACAGCATACGTTGAACACCTGCGAATTATTATTATAAAATTATATTACGAATACGAATTAGATGAAAATGTAAATTATGCGAAAACAAATAATTGAACAATTAATGTAGAAATATATAAATATATTCTAAAATTAAGAGAAGAAAATTTTGATTTGGAAAAAATGTATATTGCTCTTCCATTAAAAAATACCCCGTAAATATTAAAAAATATAACTTTTTCTGTCATGAAATTGTTCGATTTCTTGCATTGTTAATATTAACTCTTCTAATCCGCTTCGTAATTTTTTATAATTACTACTGTACAAAATTATTTTCTCATCCTTATTCTTTATAACTCAAATATCAGGACAGATCCGAAAATTTAATATATCTTTCACAAACATCGCATATCATAACAATTAGCAAACTCAATAAGTCACACATCAGTTTCTATGACTACGATGTGCAAAACATTACTCAAGTAATACCTTGCCATTGCTATCATCAAGTAAACGCGCAGCTGAGACAGTGTCGCCGGTCACTGTGTTCTCCCTCTCGAAGAAGCAATTAAAATGTAAAATCTAATTTCTACTAACATCTGACGTTTCACCGAATTTTTCGAAAAATGGACGCCGAGAGGAACAGTTCCAGTAAAATCGGCGAACGACCGATCACGCGCTGGCGACGCGAGCACCCGGAAGATGCACCCAGCACCTCGTCGAACAAGATTGACAGACCGCCGACGGGTTTTGTGAGACCTCAAAGCAAGTACGAGCGACCGAGGTCACGCCGAGGACACAAGGATGAATCGTCGGAGTACGTCAGCTCGGCTACCTTCCGCTCGCCGACACCCGGACGTCTCGCCCTGGCAAGACCTCCATCAGCGTCCTTACTATCAAATCGTGCACCAACTGCAGGCATCGACAGAATAGGCTCCGGACTAGGTCGTTCCGGCACCGGACTGGCGACTGCCAAGCAATTCAATGTTAGCATGGTCGACAGGCCGATTACGCAGCACGGGATAGCAGGCATGCGACCAGATACCACCAGGGGTTTACCGATGACGAGGTAAATATCATCGTCATAATAAGTCATCTTAAAGACCCTACAATAATTTAATAAAAAGACACAAAAATTAAGTACTTTAAATCTCTCTTCAGAAAGGCTGTATAAATCTCCTGTGTTTTTTACCTTCTTGTATAATTAGTATTATTTGCGGAGCAATTTTATCAATACATTTGAAATATATGTTTACAGACAAATTCAAGACAAGAGATATTACGAGGGTCTGTTACAACTTAAGATACGAGAATTGACGCAGGAAGTCGGGAAGATAATGAAGGATATCGAGATGCAAAATAAGGAGAAGGCCACTTTTTTGCACTACGACAAGAGAGCCAAGAATTTGGCCGCGGAATTGACAAATCTGCAGGCCGAATTAGCGGATTACAATCTTGTCGTGGATAAGATGACTCTAGATGTTGATAAGGAAGTGATCGAGCAGGAAGCCAAAGAGTTGGCGATGATGAACGAGCGCACAATTGCGGAGGTCGAGAGGATGTTCGAGCAACGGAAGGAGATGGAACAGAAACTTCATAAGATGGAGAAGGATATCGAGAACGAGAAGAAGAGAACGGAGTACATCATCGAGAATATGGATCCGCATGCAAGGGAGAAATATGACGATCTGTTGCGACAGAAGACAGAATTGCAGGAGCAAGCGCAACAGATGCAGCGCGAATTGGATCAATTATCGAAGGAACAAGTACAATTGGAAGAGCAGATAGCGCTATCCCAGTTGAAACAAGAAGCAGTGAAATTGCAGGTGAGAATCATCGAGGCGGAGAATAAACGGGACAAGTTGCGGGAGGAAGAGGGCAAGAGATTATCACCAGAGGATGAAAAGGAGCAGCTTCTGCAGAAGATCAAGCGCGACAACACTGACATCGCCGCAACTGAGGCACAAATAGCGGAAAAGGAGAAGAAGGTGATGGAATTGGAGCAACAGCTAGAGCATTTGGAAACCGACATGGAGGATGATCATTCGGAAAAACAGGCTAAATATCAGGAACTGCGTAAGCGTGAGGAGATGATGGAGGAGTTTATGTCTACGTACGAGCAAAGCAAGCAAGAGGAAATGGAGAAGCTGGAGAAAGTCGAGCGAGAGATCGTCAACAAGTTAGAGGCTGTTACGAATGCAGTAGAAAACAATGAGTATCTCACAGAAGCCGAAGAGGCGGCTATTTTGCGAGACAAATACCCGTACAATGATTACGATATCGCGCATCGCGACGATAATTTTGAGGAATTGAAGAAGGACTACGCAACCATGCAACAAACATTCAATAGGCTGAGGATCCTGGAGGAGAAACTGCAGTTGGAATCCAAGCAGATAAAAGAGAAACTGAAAAAGCAACAGAGTGAACTGATCGTTCTGGAAGATCTGGATGGCTTGAAAACGCGAAATGAATTTGAGCGAGATGAATTAATTGCCGAACGTAAAGGACTTATGACAGAGGAAACGGTTTGCGAGGACGATTTCAAGTCACTACAAACGGAATACAACGAGCTTAAAGAGCGATTGGAGAAATACGCAGTTTATCCGGAGATCAGTAATCTGGAAGAAAAATTAGAGAAATTGAAAGAAGATAAGAAAAAGGTTGAGGAATCCATAACCAAGGAAAAGGAGCGCGTAAATTATGAACCGCTTAAAGAGAAAGCCTTTAAACTGATTAATGATTACAGTGTGACACTTCAAGAAAATTTAAAATCTCTTTATTAAACAATGATTTGCCTATCTTCTCGTGAGATATACTAATAGAAGTTTTACTCGAAAACGATCAACAATAAGAAAACACAAAACAAGGAATAAAACGATAGAAATTCTCAGAATTAGAGATTTTATTATTTTTTCTTTTTATTGTAATAATTTATTGTAATATCGTTATTTAAGAATTCCTATCGTCCACCTTTCTTATCATCATGCTTTATTTATCTTTGAATTACCGTTATTTCATGTATATTATTCCTATTTTAAATTCTCTAATTACTAACATTTATTTTATTCTTATCCTGTTCAAACTCTGGAGGAAGTGGAGCTTTATTTGCTTGCAGAAACTGAATAAAATTATTCTTGAATTGTTGACTGGGCTTAATATTCTTCGCACACATTAGCTTCCAAAGCTCTATTGCGTTATTGCAATCTCCCGTTTTATCTGTAAATGTAAACATTATCATCATTAATGTCAAGCTCATACACACATTTTGGGAAACGCACAGAAAATATGGCTTACTGTAAATAGAAAGGAGCATGTCGCTTAATAAAGCTAGATCAAAATTGTTCGAATCTGGAACCGCTTTGAAGAGTTTCAATAAGTTATCTACACTATTGTTCCTTCGTGCATAATTGAAATAGTGCAAAAGACAGTTCATGGACATCCTTTGCTTCTGCAATAGAAAAACGCAATGAGAAAAATATAAATTAGAATATATAGTAAATACATGAAATTGATCAAGTTTTGGAAACTTCAGAAAATTATCCACAAGAATGAATTATTTCAAAAAGAAATAATATTCTCTTCTCATAATTATAAACAAACTACAAAAACTTAAATAAGTTATAAAAAATTACATGTATAATCTAATTGTCTTTTCGATTGTAGTATAAAATTTTTTAAATGTTTGATTAGTTTCATGAATTACTCTAAATAAAAAAAAATACAAAACAAATGTATTATAATTGAAGAAGCGTTTCAATTACCTGCAATACAGTTTGCAGTTCCTGCGTCTTGTCCAATGTTGCCAGCGCTAACACTAACAATGTGCTTGCAGTGTCTATACCATAGAAACAAACCATTATATTGTACACCTTTTCTATGTACGTTTCTACGTTATCCAATTTCGAACTGTCTTTCTGCTGCAACAATACCGTCAACACTTCCAATGCCAACGGGGCTTTTTTGTACTTTTCAGCGCATGCAAAAAACATATCTAGAGTGCCCTGGATGTCATTGTGTTCTAACGGTATCGTCACCAGCGGCCTCAATAGCTCGGTAGTTATATTGCAGTATCCTTTCTTGAGAAGCAGATCCAACATTTTTTTTGTGTAAGAGTGATGCTGACTCTGCGCCAACGTTTGCAAAAGTATGTTACAATGTTTCTCCGCGTTTGTTCTCAAATTAACATTATTGATGTTACTGATAATTTGAAAGGCTTTCTCTGGTTTATCCGCTTTCACCAACGCAATGGCAAACATTACAATTTTGCTGTTATCTATCTTGAAATTGTCAGACTTGATCTGCAGATTGGATAGCAGTATCTCGGCCTCCTTCAGTTTGTTACATCTGATGTATAGCTCGAACAAATACATCTTCATGCCGGCTGTCCACTCGTATTGGCACCCGTCAAACTCTCGTTTTATTTCCTCGGCTTTCATCAAATTGTTTTCGATACAATATGCCTCCAGCAATCGGCGCAGGATGTTTCTGGTTGTAAAATTTTTGCTCTTCATCTCGACCAAATGACAAGCTAGTTCGTTAGTATTCATATGCATCGGATGGCTTATGAACGCGAGCGCTGATTCTTTGAAATCAACGTCCACTAGATTATCTATTAGCTTCAACAAGTTTACATTTTCCATAACTTCGACATTTTTGTCCGACAGACTGTTCTTGAGAATAGTCGCATCTCGTTGCGATATTCTAATTCTGTGTTTCTTAAATTCTTCCAAGAAAACTTGCAAATTCTCCATGGCAAATGTCAAACGTCTATCGTTTAATAACATTTTCAAAAATAAAGCGACGAAATTTTGACTGCGCGGAAATATCGTTAGTAAAAATACACAGTTCTCGACATCCTTCGTGGCTATGTAAGCACGCACTAAAGGTTTCATCAGTTCTTTGTAATGTATTCTATATTGCCTACTGTATGTGCACAATGATTTTATGTCTTGCATCCGATTCTGAGATAGCAGAAAGGATATGAGGGGCGTATACGCGATACAGCCGGGTACGCCGTTAATCAATAGTTTTTGCAGAGTAATAGACGGATTTGCGGTGTTTACATACGGATATACATAATTCAGCAGTGTATCGGAGTCCAACCCCACTCCTGTGTCTATCATCGATTTTACGAGTGAGAATATCTTAGCCTCCCCCTGATTGTAATGCGCTATTGCTAGTAAAGGCCAATAATAATGCGATCGTACCTCTATATTCTTTTCTCTCATCGCACTGAATATTGCGAGGCACATATTTTCTCTGCCAAGTTTCAAGCCGGATTCCGCTACATTGGTCAATGCCAGAGGTTCGCAACCGGAATCCACGAAATCGGTCGCATATCTCGTAATATCTTCCACTGATGCATTTAACATAACTAATTCGTTCAAAAAGCTATTTACAAAGCTTTTCGCAACATCCTTCGTCGTATCATTCATAGCAAAACAATTTATAATTGTATGAGCATCCGTGGTTCGATCAGCGCGTGTCAGTTCTGTTATCGTCTTGCAGATCTGCGATTTGATAGCTGGTATAGAAGCCGTCAGAAAGTTCAGGACAACAGGGATGTGTCTACCATTATTGGACATACTCAAAATCTTTATCAATCTCAGAAGATTTGTATCGCTTTGCGGTTCGTCGTTCAATATTTTAACCAGATTCGGAATGTCACCGAGTTTTGCATATCCACATGCCAGCTCTGTGTATGCTTTGTCCATAGATAGTTTCGCATCTTGCATGAGTGTTATCACGTATTCTGCCTGAGCGATATTGCCATTGCTCGCATAAATCTGCACCAAAGTGTTGAATTTATCTTCCTCGATAATGATGTTCTTCTCCTTTATCACAGATATGATATCCCGCAGATGATTACTGTTACCCATCTTTGCGACTGCATTCAGCAGCAAATGATATGTGTTTCTGTCCGGTTCCACGCTTATATTGGCTAGAAATTCCTTAGGATCCACAGAAATCGAATTCTCCATATGAACGTCCAGCAGAGTATTATAATACTCCAACGTCAGTCCTTCGCTGTTTTTCTTCGCAAGACGCCATACCTATATGTCAAAAGTCAGATATTTAAAGAGTCAACTTTTTCTTTCTATTAATATATCATCACTATACGTGTTTCCGTTCGTTTACGTTCATTTTTTAAGAATTTTGTATACAATACTGTGTCCTTAATTATCCTGAGAAAAATTTTATTCTACCTGATCCGCTAGATATTGCCTCTCGGTCGTCTCCACATCGGATAAAAGATTGCCGCAACACTTGAGTAACAGCAGACCGGTATCGTGAGGCAGCTGATAGCCGGTCTCGTCGCATAGTTTAATAACCTCCTTCAAACTGTCCGCCGACACCCGACCTTTTTTAACGTCGTCGCACAATGACATCAATTTATGATCGATGTCATCGACTGACGATTGCGGAACCGTCGTGCCGAATGTCCTAATGCACGTCGCGGCGTAATTCTCACAGGGTCGCAAATGTGTCTGTAATCGAGGTAGACCGTGATGCACGTAACGAGAAATATAACCTTCATGTATCGCGACATTCGGCATTTTGTGCGACGACGAATGCAGGTGCGAACGGACAACGCGCGACTTTGCACCGGCTCTGAGAAGCGTCACATATCTCCTTAGTTGTAACATTTTGTCAGTTTCAATCATCATCGATCAATCAAATCATCAAATGCGGATCATTCAGGATCAGTGTCGGTGGAAAATTGACAAACTAGTTGCTGGCAACAATTTGCTGCGATAACGAGAAAGGCGCATGCGCGCTTATGGCGTAGTACTAGCCATACGTTGCACGGTTGCACGCGTAATCGGTTATATCATCGATTTATATTCCGCTCCGGATATATAATTCTAGCTCACAATCTATAATTCAGAAATATGGTTTTTATCCGTTTATTTCTTGAAGCACGTAATACCAACGCAGACTCAATACGGCTTGACTAAATTTTTTTATCTAATTAATGAAGGAGTTACCGTTAGATAGTAAGTATTATCCATATCTCATCAATTTTTATCGAAATATTTTTAATATTCAATTTGATATATAATCATTGTTCCTTGAATATTTTTTAATTGTTGTATAATATATGTATGAAAATTTTTAATGTAAATTAATTCGCGCGTGTATTTATATGTAAAAATAAATGTTCTCGTTAATAGAAGACGAGGCATTGCAGAGAGATTGCATTATCGACGGTCTATAATATTATTTTCGAAATATTTTTGTATCAACGTGCAATTCTAATAACGTCTTCATATCATTTCATATCATAATATGTGACTTGTATTTATTTGCATATGAAATCTCGTGACATGAAATGCACTCCGGCATTATAGGCTTAATACTTTTTAGCTGAGCTTGTATTTTTGTTCTTCTAATTCATTATTAGCTAATAATTAAAAATATACTATTTTCTCTTTGAAACGTTTGAAGGACCAATCAGAGTGAAGAATCTTACGCTTCGAAATGAAAATAGCGTCAAGCGGAGCGCACCTAGTAAAATAGAAAAGATAGTACCATATAATGGTAACGCATTTTTCTATACGTTGTATTATCAATGACCGAAGAAGAGGCGTGAAGTAAGGCGAGAGGGACAAATGGCGACTGGAATGTGGCGGCCTCAACGTCGAGCTGACCGATTGCTTCGTTGCTGAACGTTAGTACGGATTTACTCGTGATTTTTTGCAGTGTATTCGTCGCGTTCGTGGATCAAAATCGATAATCGTCGATAGTATATTTGAAACGATCGTTGAGTTCGCGGAACTCGCCTTGTCTACTGAAGATATATGCTACTGTAACGTACGCAGGTATATAGAACCAATGTTTTGAAAAGTTCTCTATGCAATATCTAGGATTTTTATGCAATATCTAGGATTTATATCTCGATATTATAGTCTCGTTCTCCCATTTCTGTCTTCGATAAATACATAATATATGAGATTATCGACATTGATCTATCTTGGTTTCGTATTTCTCTTATGAAATATATAAATTGAAAGTTCTATTATCATTTTTCTCGAAAGAATTTAACGGCTTTTGGCGGGATCGCCATCTTGTTCGCGAATCACAAGTTCATTATTAAAATTAAAATAACCGATTTTGAGATAATTGAGATATCGATTGACCTGCAAAATCGTTGACGATGATGTTCGTCGCGCATCAAAATTTGTGAAATTCGCATGTCGATTAAACGTCTATAGCGTGGTTTATTCATTTTATTAGCTATATATAGTATGCTAGTGCGCTAGCGAGTAAAGTTGAGATATTTTAACTTGACTAGCATGCTAGTTAGAGAGAGAAAAAACATGCTAGTTTACTAACATTTTAACTGTACACTGATTTTTTTTGCTTCATCGTTTTTGCGTACGTAATAAATATATATGAGTTCATATACGAAAAAATGTGCAATTAATGTATTGATTATAAAGTTTAAAGGTCAACATTTATAAGTAAGTAATTATATAATATTTCACCTATATTTACTTGAAATAACATTTTGAAATTATATAATGGTTATTAAATTATGATATTCACGATGAATGTGTTTCCTGGTCTATTTTATTAACATGATTTCGTGGGAGCATATACAAAGGAATAATCGTAATTATTTCTGTTCGGAGTAAAAAAATACAGCAGAATGTCAATTATCTAAATATTGTATATAAAAGGAAATGTTTAATTTATATTAAAATATTTTTGATACATATATATCTATTTATGTTTATGTTGTATTATTTAATATATCGTTTACATATTTTTATTTTTCTGAATGTTTGGAGCTAATTGTAATACACACACACACACACACACACATACACAGTGTCTTAACTTGTCTGGATAATTAATATTAGGCATCTGAATTCGATATAATGCAATGATATAATCAGATGATACTAGAGAAAATTTATAAAAATATCTATGAATAATTTTCTATTCTTGTTATATTTTACACACACAATTTAATCTTATTACACAAGCAACACACACGCATATGTTTTATAATAAGCATTAAATAGATGAGTAAAGATATATTAATAATACATAAATAAATAAAGTAGAATAAATAAATAAATAAATAAATAATATGTAAAAAATAAATTGGATATTGGATTAATTATATATATATATAAATGACTAGATAAAATAATAAATAAATAAAATACGTGAAATAAGTAAGCGATTAAATGCATCGTGTACGACGTATTTAGATTCTGCGAAAATTATTAAGACGCACTGAAAGCAATAAATATTTCACATGACAAACTTCCCTACGCAGGAAAGCCCTTAGCATAAATAGATATATGTTAACACATATTATATTATGCGAAAAGATAAATAAAGTATTTCGCATAGTATTCATCTATTTATTTATTTATTATCCATAATAAGTTTATTTTTTAACAGATAATAAATAAATAGATGAATATGATAATTATTAAGAATAATTCTAGTTACTTGTCTTATCAAACTAACAGACTAAATTTTTATGAACTATATTTTATATATTAAATTTTACAGACTAGGTTCTTGCTGCCCATGGACTGAGATCGCGTACTCTACTACGTAAACGTAAGGGAAGATAAGGATTCGATAGATCATTTGCATATAAGGCTGTAAGGTATCCTCGATTGTCAGCCGTATAAAAAAATCGTGAGTAAATAAATTATAATAAATTATTAAGCTCTTCAATTTCTCTTGCGTAATTATGCGGCAAAGAACCAACTTTCAAACATTATTTTTTATTAATCACATTGCACAAGTTAAAATTATATATATTTATCATATAAAAAATACATTTTGACGCCATTTTAGATCAAGCACGTTATATTTAATTATCGCATAGAAAATATATATTTGGCAATATGGTGACATATTTAGATGATTTGTTTTTAAAGTTCCAAGATAAGTTGATTCAATATTGCATAATTATCTGCCAACTATTTCTGTGTATAATTTCTTAGAATTTTTTGATCTTCCCCTAAAAAAACTTTTCGAGTTAGTTGTCCATGAGCTTTCTTGACTAGATATCACTCGTATATAATATTACATATATATTAAGCATCCGATTTTCGCTAATTCTCTTTTTTAAATAATAAAATAAAGGACCTTAATTTTACATTGTTACTTACATCGACCTGCGACTATATATGCCGACTAGTGAGATTAATTTTAATTCTTGTACGAGATGCACGCGAGAGAATTTATACTATATTTTCTATAAAAATTATTACATTTGATCAAATTTATTATGCGATAAAAATGAGATATAAATCTATCATTTATAAATATTAAAAAAGAAGCTTACAATAAGTTTGATTAACTCTTCAATACGCGTCGATACTCGTGATAACTTATAATTAAATATGTTTCTGATCTTATCTGTCCAATTACGAATGAAATAATTTCGACTAGAATGCGACTAGAATTTAATAAAATCGATATTAGCGCAGTTATAAAGTATTAAAATAAGCACAGCCGCATAATACTCGAATACGATTGTGTAACTTAATTTACAAAACGTCTTTATGAAAAAAATGGTTATATGACTAGATAAACTGCTCCCTTAAAAGTAAAATCTAATATTAATTTTCTTATCTTACCCATATATTCTAAATCTCTGAAATTTTCTTTTTACCCTTGAATAGTATATAAATTATTCTTTTAGAAAATTCTAATATATAGATAAGGCATTTAGATAAAAATTGTTAGTACATTAAATCAATAGATTGAATAAATCGGTTAAAAAATGAGAAATGAAGTGACTTTGGACTGCGTAGTAAAGAAAAATTTGGTTAAGAAAAAAAGAAAAAAGCAAATTGACTAGAATAAAATGGTTAAAGGAATGACTAGAAAAATTATAATAGAATTCTTTTCTAAATTAAAGATATATTTGACTAGAGTTTAGTGACATCTTTGGTTTCTTTTATTATTGCAATATTGTTAATTTTGAGTTTAAGTTTAATTTTTTAAATTGTTTTTATGTATATAATTTTAAAATCTTTTTAATTACCTTTTTGGTTTAATCTTTGGTTTAGACTAACGAGAATATTTTCGATCTGCGCATCTGATATTAAAATCGTTGAAAAATACTAATCTTATAACACAGATCTATTTCAGAATATTTCTTTAACTTAAACTAGCATGAAAGCATGGAATTATCATCTTCGTTAATGATCATTGCTATTATTATGTGTTTACGTTTAAATAATACACTATTTACAAAAGCATCTTATAATATACTTAGAAAGCACAGAGATTTAGAATGTTCAATATAGCTTATAATTCCCTAATATAGCTCTTGTCTGCATCGATAGCTGCTCTTGAGGACATTTTACTTTTTTGATATATATCAATTAAAATAAATTAAATGCGCTAATGTACAGGCACTTTTTATATGTATTTTGCATAAGATTTATAGACTATTCCTCTCTATTCATTTGCATTCAAGGATATCTTTTTTTTTTTTTTTTATAAGAAGAATAGGAAAAGAATTGCATCTTAATTATTAAATTTTTGCACTTTTAAAAATATTAATTTCAAATAATGTAGGTATATACTGGCACGTTTCCCAAAATATATCATACTTACAATTATTCAAGTTATAATAATTAGCTTAAACTTATTATTTTTCTTTTAAATTAAGATTATTTTACTTAATTATTAAAATTCTTTAAAATAATGCTAATGGCTAGAATTGACTAGATTTGCAAAATTATTATGATTAAATTGAAATATGAGAACTGTACAATGTATGCTTCCAAAGGCATTAAGTTATATGCGATTATCTAAAGAAATGACTAGCATTCTCTTATTTGGCATAAGTTTTATATGGCATCGCATCCACGGATTTCACACATCTGATATACACTATCAGTATAACTGTAAGAATAATATTGATAATATAATAATTGTGATATGTTACGCAAGATGTAATCGCGCGCTTTAGAATTTAATAAAAGATTGCATTTATCAATGGCCTGCATATCCTGTATCGAATATGAAATTGCTCTTAATTATTTAGGTCAATCAATTAAATAACTGACCATAAATATGTGTGATTTGAAACTATAAATAATTATATAATAAAAACCGGGATTATAAAGATTATAGATAAAGTGATACAGATACTCAGCAAAATTACTCTACTTTACAAAAAGTTATATATTATAAATGGTTATAAATTATAAAGATATGTGAAAGAGAATTTTTATATACATATACTAATTCAATTTTAATTTACTCTTGTTAATTTTAAAGAATTCTAATTCTAATTTTATTCTATAATAAAGGAATGTTTACGTACGGTTTGCATCAGATCAAATTTAAAAACTTATGACACTAAAATTAAAAAAAAAATTAAGAGAGATATTTAAGGGAAATATTTCAAGAACTTTAAATTTGCATTTTTTTTTATATTAATATTTTGAAACATGTGATTGTCATGGTCTTTGTAAAAAAAAAAAAAAAATTAAATTTTGGTTTAAATTAGTACCGTCATAGTATTATATAGTTCTGACTAGATCTCTTGATATATTCTATGAATTAAACTATATTTGACTAGAATCTTGTTTATTGTATTATATATTTTTTTTCTATATGGCACATATCCCTAATAGATATTAGAAATTAAAATCATCTTTCTCCATTGGATTTTATTAATATAACTTGGATAAAAGGAATTATGACTTAAAATGTATAACTCCATATTAAAAGTTATGACTTTAAATAAACTTAAATATTAAATATAGTTGACTAGATATGAAGTTAATTATGAATATTAAATTTGATTTTATATTGTACTTTTTATAGCTCTTGCACATTGAAAGTTACTAATTTTTACTTAATATTGTCAATGATTTATAAATAACTATAACTTTAAATTAATCTCACTACTGTCGGCTTAAACTAAATTATATTAAAATCATGACTTAAATCTTGGAAACGCTCGGCTGCGAAAATTTTCATTGTTATGTGCAACTAAGCATTTTCGTCACAAATAATCCTTTTAAAATTCAAATAAAAAGAGTAAAACCTTTTTTACATATAAATTATAATTTAATTCTTTTATTAAGAGAGAAATGCGTTCGCGGAAGATTTGACTTTTAACTCGCAATAATGCATATATATAGACTATTATTAATCAAAACAAAAAGAAAAGAGCAGTCAATGTCAAAGCAGAATCTGAACGCGGATGCAAATGCAGTTCTATGATAAAAATCTTAGCAAGAGTTATATAGTAGTTTATATGCATCTTGTAACGTTTCTCTATTTCTCATTTCTTCTCTTTCTCCTTTTCTCTTCTTCTCCCTTCTTTTCTCTTTTTTTTTTTAAACTTTTTCTCCTTTTTTTTTCAAGATAAAGTTGAAATTTAAGAAACTGATATATGTATGGAAAAGCAAGATTTAAAATTTAAATTAAAATCAAAATGTTTAAAATTTTTATCAATAGACTATAATTCTACTACGTATACGCGTTTAAATTCTAATGAGCCTTTTTCTTTTTGTTTTGATTTACTTCAGTCTTCTTAATTTTTGCTAGACTATAATTAACGTAATTTATGTGGATACTTATTAACGAATATAAAGTAACTTATACATATATGAATATAGATATTCTCGTACACTATTAAATATTTATATTATTTACATTATTCAATTAAAATTGCATTATCGCGAGTTGGTGAAATATTTTTCCGAGTATTAAAATGGATTATGACATACCATATTATCTTAAAAGATTGCATTCAGTTAGAGATGTCTTCCACCGGTGATCGTTGTTATCATCATAATCGTTGTAGTCATTGAAAGTAGATGATATGACACAGCAACGCGATTCTTCTCGGATCTAATCTATAATTTTTTTGATAATTGTAGATGTTTTAATACTTTAGAATATTGACCAAAATATATTTGCGAATGACGAATAAGAATGCTCAGAATATGTGTATATTTTAACACAAAATAAATATATCATATATACATATTCAAAATTGATACTTTTCATTACATTCATGAATATATTTTAGCATTATATATATTTCAGATTAAATCATAAATTTTAATAAAGTACTTACCCGAATAGTTTCTCGTATGATGAACTTATATTAGATCCGATTATCAATATGCTGCATCATAAGTGTCGAAAATTGTGGCATGCTTGATTGCCAAAAAATGTACATTTTGACTGACACCAGAGATTGTATTGCGATCGGTTTAAAGATCTGTTAATATATATATATTCTTATTGTCAAGTTTTTCTTGGAATATTATTCACGTTATTGATATCTTTGATTCAGACGCTTGTGAAAACATTCTCATCAATATGCATAATGAAAAAATATTAAGAATCGGAATATTGTGTAATAATTGATGTCTTTGGATATCTATTCATCTTGTTGTTGCCATAATCACACCGGTGATTATCCTCTTCGATAATTTTTGATGCTGTTTAATGCAGAAGTATGCAGGAATGAAAATTTTCTATTACCGCAAAATGCGGTCATTTATCTTCACCGAGCGTCTTTTGAATACTGGTTGTACTTTGAGTATCAGTACTCTATGTCTCTCTCTCTCTTTCTCTCTCATTTTTTCATTTCTACTTGTTATCGGTACGTAGTTAATTTAAGATTTATTTTGTTCGCCTTGCAACTTCCTGTTTCTGTACTGTTGGTTCGTATGTTGTAGAAATGAAGGACGAGGTCAAGAAGCCGACAACCACAATGACGTTTTTATAATACGTCAATGACGATATTGATATTCATCGATGTTAGCTGATGGTATTTTTTACTCAAGGTTTCCACGACGATATTACATGGATCATACATGGTGTTCGATTATCATGTACTTACTGTGGTTGTCTTGCCATCTTCCGTCCTCCCTCGTCTCTTTATCTCCGAATCAGCGATTCACCGAGGACGAACGATCCTAAGAACAATCTTCATCCTTTTCGGAGATGTTCCTTCCAGCAAGTGTTCAACAGTACCTCGTACCTCTCGTTTCTTTCGCTCCTCCGTTCATCCATTCTTTGGATCCGTGATCCTCGGCGATTCTCGTAACGGCGGATGATCGTTGCGTGCCGGATGAGAGACTTCAATCTGGCGCGGTCCCGATTCGGGAAAACCGGGCTGAAGGTCGCGGGACCCTCGGAGGTTCGGTTCATGCTTGCTGCTTGCGAGCGGGCGCACCGCGCGGGATGGGAAGAGGAGAGCGTAACGCGACACCCTTGATGACGAAGCGAGAGAAAGAGAGGAGAGGAGCCCTCCGAGGGTCACGCAAGCGCACAGTCGCTCGTCCGGTCGCAAACTAACCCTAACTAGGCTCCGTGTCGAGTTTTATGCACGTGTTCGGGCTCCACCGTCTCGTCTGTCCATTCCCCACCCCGTGTTCGCTCGTATGCCCGGATCTTCCCTTCACTCCGCTCTGTAGCTTGCGTCCCGAGGTTCCTGCCGCCACCTCGATGCCAACCCGACAATCTCGTCGCCCCTCCACGTCGCACCGTACACGCCATA